CTATGCTGCTGTGTCTTGGTGGTTTGGAGTATGAGGTGTGTGCCTAAGGGCTGGGCTTCTGACTTTGCTGTGCAAGTTGCCAGGGGAAAGGGAGCAAGTGAACATATTTGTCTGCATTTTTTTTCCTTGCCTATGTACACAGATTTCCCCTCAAAAGACTGTAGGAGTCCAATCACCTGAAAATCAAGAATGTTTATTCCCATGTTTCCTGGTTTTCGTCCAAGAGATGCTGTGTCTATATTTTCTCATCACTGAGCACCCCCATGTTGGTTTGTTTCTCCTAATTATGAGATGGGGTGTATATAGCTATAACAGAAAAACCTTTGCACCTGTTTGAGCCTTTTGACCAGACTGCAAATTGACTTGACCACATTGTGCTAGTTGGCCATTAGATAAAAAATGAATTTCTCATAGTTCTGCTATGATAAGGGATGGTTGAGTGGTTGTTTTGTTTTGTTTTGTATTGGATTTTTCTTGGTTTTGTTGGGTGGGGTTTTTAAGGTTTCTTGGTCGGGTCTTTTCTCTCCTTTTCTTTTTATGTTCTTCATTTTTTCCTGCAGTGTGTGTGTGTGTATGTGTGTTTTTGTGCTTTTTTTGTTGTTCTCACTTGTTTAAAATTAATGGTCAGAGAGAGACACTGCATAGAAAGGACCAGATTCTACAAACTGGTGAATTATGGAGCACTTGCCAAAGTCCTGCTGACATGCATGGAATGAAGTCTGTTCTGTACCTGTTAAGTTGCCTTTGTTTTACAGGGCAGAGAAGATTATTTATTGGGAATGGTGGAAATGGGTAGCATTTCACTCCTTCACTTTCAGTTTTTTTCTTTTTGTGTGTGTGTGTGTTTGTGTTAGACCTTGTCTGAAGAAAGGCAGTCTCTGCATAGCTTTGCCCTGGGCGTAGAAGTCCCAGGACCACTGCTGCTCAAAAGAGAGATCACGTTTTTCTTGGATGGGATTGTAAAGTCCAGGTTACATTCTGTTGCTTGGTAGTTATATATTAATAAATTATAGGTCCAAAGGGCTTGTGTTACCTTGTCTTGAAGTTCATAATCCGATGAAACTTCTTTTCATTTCTCTTGTGTTTCTTCTGTGCTGAAGAAGAAACACTGATCTTATTAGTCAGTGGTAGCTGCAACCGTAACAGGTCAGTTTCCTTGTTTTTCCTTTTCCATCTTGAGAAACCTGTGCTTTTACTTTTTAGAACAGTGCTGGTAGGTGATTTATATATTCTGCCTAGCTATTTCATGGCTATATGCATTTTTTCCCATTTACAGTTAAGTGAAAATAAATAGTTCAAGCCTCAGTAAAAGCCACTGTACATTTGTGTATTAGAATCAGCTGCTTGTTTTCTGTCTCAGTCTCAAGGACTGGATGGAAGGATGTAACTCATGTAACCATGAGTTAAACCAGATCTGAAGTGTTCCCACTTGTAACTTCTCCTGCAGATGAGGAGCAGGTACAGGATCTTAACAGGTATCTCAGTAGTGAGTGCAGGTACTTAACAGGTATCTCAGAGTGAAACATGTTTGTGGAGAGAAGATGGCTGTTGAACTAAATTTAGGTTGAATTTATCTGACACTGAAGAATGGCATGCAACTTTTTTATAGTATGTTGTGGTTATAGCATGGAGAGTACCCTTTCTTCCCTTGCTTAAAACAGGCTTTTAAATCACTCACTTTCTTTGTGCATTATTTTTGTGGGGTCACAATAAGGCTTTTATTATGGAGTGCTTTTGTGTTGTCCTCTATAACCATTGTTGCTCTGACAAAGAAAGATTAATTCTTTTTCTCACTCACATTCAATAGTATTAACAGGCTTCTAGGCAGCTTCTGACTGTAGCTGCTGGAGCATGTCAGAAAAAGCAGCTGCTCATGTCAGATCCAAGGTAGAGCTAGATCTGTGGATTTCAGTCTCTGATTCATGTAGCTACATTATCCTACAGAGATGTTTCAGAAAGTTGGCTAGAAAATGCAAATCTGTGCAACATATCACTCCACAGATGTGAACTGCAGAGGGATCTGCTTCCACTGAAATAGTTTGAGATCTGTCATTTGGAAAATGTTGAAAACCAGGAATTTCAAGCAGTCACAGTGAGAATATGTAAATCACTATTGTGGGAAAGTTCGTATGAGGTCACCTGAACTGTTGCTAGGTTAGAGAGACTGCAGTGGGAATGTTTTTCCTTTTCCTTTCTCTGATGCCCCTGAAGGAAGCAGACCTGCCCTGTCCTTTCTGCACAAAAGAAAAGGAGGACTGTAGTATCTGAAAGGCCCTGTCTGCATAATGCCAAAAAGAGTAGCATTGTTAGATGTTATGTGGAGTTAAAGTGAGTATTGCTGGTCAATGTATGGCTGATGCTTTTTTTGGTCTGATGCCTGATTTGCTGACACACTGCGCACACTGCCCTACTCTCACCCCCAGCCTCAAGCGGTTTCATACAAGGTCTGTAACTGCAGAATTGGCTGAGGAGTACTTAAAAAGTTTTTTAAAATATATTAAAAAGATAAAAATCACACTCTCATTAAGGTGTCTGACCTTGTTTGTCTGTTCCCATAGAAAACCTCAGGCAGGTTTATGTTATCACCAGGGAACAAATGCCTTGTGTAGCATGGTCCCAATTTACTTCCAGCTCCTTCACTAGCTTCAAAACTCAGTCCTTCTTCACTTTTTCTCTGAAGTTTCAAGTGTCTACAGCTCAGCTAATTTCATTTTCATGATTATTTTATTACCATTGCTTTATTTCTTCTACCTTTTTTCACTGTGAGATCTGGAATTTATGAGGTAAATCATAATTAAAACTAGTTCTGCCAGGCTCAGAACACTTGCCTGCTTCTTTTCTTTCTACCTCCTTTGGTACTTTGTCAGATGCAATGTGTTGGAATTAGCTCCTGCATTATAGAACAAGCCACAAGAACAAAAAATAAAAGCTTGTTTTAAGAAACAAGTTATAGTTTATAGTAGCTCTGTAGCTACTTCTGTTGAAGTAGTTGGTATTATGAAAGGCAAGAGTTACATGATTTGTAAATCGATGTGAAGTTCTTAAACTGTATGATTGTAAGGCGGTTTTGCCATGAGTCTGGATGTATGCAAAATTCCCGTCTCTCACCACCTGCTTACAAATAACAACTGTAGCTAAATATAAAAGGACCTGAGGAGAAGATGAATCCAAAATATTTTTTTTTCTTCAATAGACAAATAAATTAAGAGTTTGGTTCATGGAGAAACAAGCTAGTTAATTACTTGTCAATGCTCTGAACTTATCACCAGGGAGGAGCATAGGAGCTGCAAGTTAGTGACTGATGACTTCATGCCTCACTCAGTGTATATAGGATAAAAATGGAATGTTCAAGAAAATTTCTGATGAAAGAGAAATCTCTCTATACTAGTAAATAAGGCACTACCTCTGCCTGCATATCTGAAGAGAATGCTATTTGTTATGCCCACAGGGAAGGAAAGGCAGTATCTTCATCACTGCTGATTTACCACTGATTTACCACTGCCTTGTTGAGGTCTCACTGAAATGAGAATTTTCAAGAAAGTGTAAAGAATTTTTGCAAGTTGAGACGTGTCACAGAGATTGTTGGTCAAATGCAAATACTGATTACAAAGTATGGAGGGTTTGGATTACCTCTGAACACTTTTTTTCTTTTTGGTTGGTTGGTTGGTTTGGTTTGGTTTGGGTATTTTTGTTAATGTGATAAAGCTGTTACTTTTTGATTCTGCCAGGAGCTTACACTGATTATCCAAACTCTGTTTAGCCTTTTTATCTGTGAGAATAGTGATTATCTCTTATTAAAGAAGAGTTTGATTTGGTATTTCAGTTCAGGGGGTTTTTTTTCCCCCTATACACAGTTTTGCCCTTGGCTGATTTGACCACTAAGCTTTTCCGGCTTTTAAGAATTAGAGTGCTTTTTCTGTACTTTTCCTATCTGGACCTCAGTTCATATTGTTTGCAGGGCGAAAATCGTGTGAAAAATCATAATCTCTTCCTGCACCCTAAAAACGGGCAGATTAACAAAATGCAGGCGGTAGGCCTCCACAATAATTTCTGAGTAAATATTTTACTGCTTTTTCCATCTGTTACACTAAGATCTGACTTAAACTAAGCGTAAATCTAGTCAGAAGAGGTCACTGGAGTATTAATCATCAGAGTTAATCCTCTTAGACATGTGTTTGGTATGAGGCCAGCTATTCAGAAGTTTAACAGCACACATATGTTGCTTATCTGTCTGGCAGCTTGCCAAAGAAGTAAACTTCAAGTCTGTGGTGGGTTTCTATCTCTGTAAAGCACTCTGCTTGCTTGGTGCAAGGTGATGCAGCTTTTCTGTATATCACACATGGTGCATAGCCTGCTACTGAAGAATGAGTTCCTTTCAGGGTGCTTTTCAAAGAGCTATAGTTTTGGTGTTACATGATAAGAAGTGATATCATTCACAGTTGACCTTTTCATGGTGCTTCCCTATGAAGTATGATGAGCCAGATTTAATACTACTAACTTAGAGCAGAGGAAGAGACAATGTTTCAAGTAGAGTAATATTGTGGAACCCAAATATAGCTGAATGAAACCTCACCCTGCTTCCACTGCTGCCATTCTGACTTGGAGGAAACATTCATGTACGTAAATACAACTCTTTCTTGAGTCAGGTCTGGACTGGACCCAACATTTCTGTTTCTCACTTCATAGGAGTATGCTTCGTACTCGACAGAAAAACGATTATATCATATCCTAATTATGGAACTGATTCATCCCCTGGGGCATGGAAAGCAAACAGTAGGAGTGAGTGCATCATTAAAAAATTAGCGTATTTTTAGAGAGGAGGTAAAAATAAAAGTGCAACTCCACTGAAAAAGTTAATGATGAAGAAAAAAATTACTTGCATTAAAGGAACTTTTTAAAACAGTCTGAGATTATGGGAAAATGAACATATATTTCTCAGTAATGTGTGTGGATTTTCTTGGAAGAAATTATTAATTTTCTTCTTACCTTTCTTTCTCAAGGAAAAGAATGAAAGCTCGTGCTCCCCCTCCACCAAATCAACCTTCTGCAGCAAGTAGAATTCAAAGTGAGCCCAAGTCACCTGTAGAGACATCTGTAATTTCAGATCAGAACCTAGTGAGCATGAAGGAGAACATGATAAACAGACTGGTGGACTTCACAGTTGTTTTACCCAGTGGAGTGGAGCAGAAGTGCACAGTGCAAGGAAGGTAAGGCTTTGATTAGCTCTCACTTTTTGAAGCCTTTTGTTCCCCATGGGATGCTTGGTGGTGCTGTCCTTCTGAGTTTATGGGGCTTCTCTGTCATGCTTTTCTCTGCATTTTAAGCAGCTGTTGCACCAGAGTCCTGAGAGCCAAGTATAAAGGATCCTCTCTTCTGAGGCAAGAAGGATTTAGCAGCTATTGTGTCCCTCTTTTCCCCATGGATCAGTACGTGTATGGATCTATCCCTTTCATGTAGTGTCACTGTGCTTAGGTTGCATCACATCCCATAATCCAGAGTGGGCTTGCTGCAGTGGAACTAGGTGCTGCTGGCAAACAGTCCTGACAGTATGAGTGCCTGGAGGCATGCCAGGAAGCAGGCTCTGAAGATGGATGATTCATCGCATTCAGAGAACCTGCCTTCACAATTACAGTGCAGTTGTGTAGACAGAAAAGCATCTGCTCGTATTTAGGAAGCTTTTTATATGTAAAAGTGTATTTTTTTTCCCATGGAAAGAGACAGGGATTTTCTGTGTTACTTACTGGGTACAATCAAGAGCAAATTTTATTGGAAAGGTAATTTTGAGATAATTCTCTTCACTGTGGGAGCTCTTCTTTATCCTCATTCTTTTTGTGTAAATTGTTTTGAAAGAAAGAGACATTACTTTAGGAAATAGTACAGAGAAGTTTCAAAAGTACAAACAAGACTCTGATGAAACCATAGCAAACAATGTTGTGGTCAGGAGTAGTCAGGAAACTGTAGGAAGTGTAAGACCACATTCAAAAGGTGTATAGGTGTAGGCACACAGTTTGTGGTAATTGGGAGTGGGGCTGCAGTGAGCCTCATCCCCACTGGGCTACAATGTGCAGGACAGGTGAGCAGCATTGAAGGTAATGGGACATGGAGTGCTGAGGTGCACTGACCAACCACAAAGTGTGCAGAGGGCTCACAGGTGTAAGGCATGTAAAATGAAGGGTATAAAAGATTGGGCTGAAAAGCAAAAAAGAGCAGATTCTTGAAGATTTCTGAAATGGTGTTATTCTGTTTGGGCTGATGCTTTGTGATATTGTATGATGATGCTTTGTGTATCGTGGCCGTCTCAACTGTGAAATGTAGCTGCCTATTGGTAAATCAGATTCTGTGTTTATTTTAAAATTAATGCTTTCAGTAGTTAGTCTGCATTTCAGCAGTACTACTTTCTGTCTCATATGCTAGTCTGTGTTGACTGTTTCCCTCATAGTATATTTTGGTGGCTGAGGAGGATGTGTAAACTGCTATTTGGTGTCTGGGACTTCTTTCTTCCCCCTACTTTTCTTATAGAAACTAACATACATTTATCTACTCTTGGGAGATAGTGCAACTTGTGGGTGTCTACCCCAAAGCCAGAGTGATGTTAAAGGCTTGAAAGGAAAGCAGTACTTACCAGAGCTCTCAGATAATACGTGTAGTGATAGAGTTTTTATAGGGAGATTTGGACTTAATCAGAGAAAGAAGAGAGCAGGCCTGGTAAGTGGAACAGGACATGAAACTCACTGGCCATTAGAGCCCAAAGAAAGGTGGTATTTCATTGGCAAATGCAAGCCATCTGGGAGCTGACAAGACATTAATATTCATGCAGCATTTTGTACTGAGACATAGATAATTGCCATAAGGTTAGAAACATTTTTTCCTCTCCAAAGCAAGCAGTCCAAGAGTGCTATGAGTGGTCTTTTATTGTGACTTTTTGAAGAATGTAAAAGCTACAGGAGCAAAGAGCAAGTAGAAAGTCCCTGTACAGTAAATATTCTATGTCTCACACAAGTGTTTATCATTATGTGTCCCATACACTGAGACTGTTTTGTTTATTAGAGTCTTTAGTCTATGGACAAAAACCTGAAAGAAATGGCAAATATGAAACTTCCCGCATTTCTGTGAGGTTATTTATATCATCTGCATTAAGCATTCTAAGCAACTAAAATATTCTCTTTGTCTGTGAGGGTGCTCATTTCTCTCAGGGTCTGCATGATAGGTATAGGCCTCTGATTTAGGGGGCAATTAAATTCCTGCCTGTGTTAATGTGCAAATCTGCACATCACTGGTGCCTAACCTAGGCTGTGGCTGTTCCCCCTGCATGCTGTCTTCAAGACTTAAAGTGGAGAAGTTAGTGACACTGATAGCCAGCTGTGGGAAGTGGAAGATGACAGAAACTGAGAAAGGAAGATTAATTCCCCTAACAAGCTATGAAATGAGAAAAGAATATTCTGTAATAAGCCCTGTATTACAGTGGCATCAGTCTACGAACAGACCTCATGTGTGCTGCTGTTCTTTCTAATCACTGGAAGATGCATTTTCTGTACATTAGCCCTGACTTTGTTTTTAGGTATGTAGAATAGTGAAAAATAATGTCAAGATTATCTGAAACTTTTAGGGGATGAACTGTCTGAAGTCTCCGGGTTTGGGGGAAAGCCCAGGTTTTTTCAACTTCTTGCATTGTTTTGGTATTGGAATCTAAACAGCTATGAAATACAATGATACTTAGGGGGTAAACATTAAATTATGAAGTTACTGGATCTTATAAAATGTGGTAATGTGGTGGTTTTTTGCCCCCTTTTTTTTTTTTTAAGTTTGTGGCAAGAGTAAGAGCCAGTACAGGTAATGAATTATTTTCCCTGCTCACTCTTTATCTGTGATGATATCATGGAAGGACATTTCAGAAAAATCTGCTGTTGTTTATACTGCTTTAAATCTTCATTATTTTTGTTGCCATCATTAAAACTGTTTTCTGCAGAATCTCCATTTGGCTACCCTGGGGAAATAGCTTTTCTGTTTCAAAAAAATTTGCAAATCTTTGCCCTGGGCATGTTCATAATGAAAAATTATTCTGTAATTTCTGGAAAGCAGTCCACAGAACTATGAAGTACACTGGATTATATTTGAAAATATAAATACTGTAGATAATTAGTATCACTTAAGATTGTTATAAGTGAACTAAAAGTAAAAATTACGCCTTTCAATTTGTTCATTGTATGTAGGCAAAGCAACATGTTGTAATTTAACTTTGTTCTCTATGTAAAAAGTTCCTGCAAATATCAGCAGAAGGGCAGAATGTTCTCATTAAGTTTTCTTGAAGACATGTTAAGAAAAAAAGTTTGAATTATTTAAAGATATTTTATTGCAATCTGGAACCTTGAAATTGTTTTATTTATAAAAGTTAACTCAAGCTGACAGTCTCTCTAACGGTTTATTGCCATCTTGTAACACACAATTTGTTTGGGAATTTGAAAATGTGTAGCACAGATTTTAGTACAAAGCTGAATCATTAGGGAGTGTGTGCAGTGATAAAATAGTATAAACAGTTTTCTTTTTGAAGGACTTGATCCCTGGGAACTCTGCTATAAGACATGTAGAACTATTCATGAAAAACTGTTAGCCTACTTCCCCTTGAAAAGGAGGGAAACACTATTCTGTGTTTGTACTTGGGTGTGAGCACTGACTGATGTTCTGAAAGGATAGGTAGAGCATTGGCCACTTACACATTTTATGCATGTAGATCTGTACCACATCCACACAAACAGTTAACAGGTCTGAGAGAGGTGCTGGGTAGACATTTAGATGGAAAACAACTGGAAAAGCTCCCAAGTTATCAGTGTTCTCTTCATGATTCTCAGAGGTAATACTTTCAATGGGTAACCCGTAAATAAAGGGGTAATGCATCTCTGTTCACACTTGGTGGCACTGAGGAGGACTTCCTGATTAACACAGATAAATTCATTAACACAGCAGCTTGGAACTCAGTAGTATTTGAAAAGCACTATAGAAAAATGGGGATGTTTGAAGCTAAGTGAGGTTTGTTTTGAAGTTGTCAACATGTGGATGACCAATATGCTGAAAAGTAAACTGGAAAGTTGTTGCTCCTGCATCTTACATGTTACACAAATTCTCTCATACATATGATGAACATAGAGCAGGACACTGGAAGTAGTAGTAAACTAGCCAGAGCTGTAGTCTGATTCTGCAAATATTGGAGGACAGAGTTCAGTACAGAGTAATATCAGAATATTCAGAAAGAATATTCTCACATATTTTCAGTCTCTTTATTGTAGGCTTATAGCTCGACATACAGAACAGTGTTTCAGGAAAGATTCAACGTATGAAATCAGTCGGGTTGATAAAACATTCAAGAGGTGTTGTCAGAAGAAGATAAATAGGGCACATGGCAAAAGGCTTAAAAAATAGTTTAACTAAATACTGAATAAGAGTCAGGTCTATAGTACAGTTGTTCAGTGTAGGCTAAGGGGGAGGGGGAGAAACTTGTACTAGAATTTGTGTTGAAAGGGGCCCCTGGAACACACAGTCTCTAGGCAAGTTGGAAGTTTGAATACTTCGGGGAGGAGGTTTCTGGATTTTTCTGCACCTCTTTTCCAGGGCTGGAACCATCTTTTTGGAGACAATATGTTTACTTGTATCTAAATGGAATTTCCTATTCAGCACTTGTCTCTTGCTCTTCACAGTCAAGAAGAGTCTGTCTCTGTAACCCTATAGTTCCTGCTTACAGACAGTAGCAAGGTCTTTCTTCACCTTTCTTGTTCTAAGACTCAAAAAATCCAGTCCTCTGTCTCATGTATCATCTTGATGTTCCTTCTGTGGACTTGCTCAGTTGTGGAAAATAAGAGCCAAATGTACTGGAGCAAGTTAAGAAAAGAAATAGAAAACATTTATAAGTGTCTTATTTATCACATTTCCTGAACTTTTTTGGATACAGATTAGTACTTAGTGTGTACATTTTTGTTTGTGTAGAAAAAGTGGTAATCTTTTCATTAAGTGCCTGCTGTACTTTGGAGCATGCAAAGATAAAGACTGATGCTATTTTCTAGTTTAAATGGGAATAGTGAAAGAATTAAAGATTTTGGGTCATCCATTCCCTTTACAGTATTACTTTCTTTTCCAGTCAATTGCTAATGCAGATTCTTAATGCATATTTGACATTGACCTAAATAAAGAAGATCCTTTCCTGCAGTTTAAGACTATTTTTAATTTTTTTTTAAACCATGGAACCACAGAATAGTTTGGGTTAGAAGGACTTTAAAGACCATCTAATTCTACTCTCCCTGCCATGCACCAGATGGCTCAGAGCCCCATCCAACCTGGTCTCCCATGCTTCCAGGGATGGGGCACCCACAGCTTCTCTGGACCAGTTCCTGTGCTTCACCACTCTCACAGTCAAGAATTTCTTCCTAATATCTAATCTAAGCCTACTCTTAGTTTTAAACTTTTAGCCCTTGTTCTGTCACCACATGCTCTTGTGACAAGTCCCTCTCCAGCTTTCTCCTAGACCTGTTTAGGTACTGGACACCATTTGTAACATGAAAGTAGAAGATAAAAAAGAAAATTATTTGAGAGAATACAGCTTTACCCTGCACATTTATTTTTAGCTGGACAAGGATATGTTTTAAAATGTATTTCTCTGTGTGATCCAAGGAGGTCAAGCCAAACCATACCCAAAACATCTCAGTTGTTTTATACTTCCTAAAAACCATAAGCATCTGCTGCATTTTACTGGAGAACAGCAGGAAACAAGCAGTCTGGTCGAACTGGATCAGCATGATAAGTATTGCTGACAAAGTAGTTATCCTTTACTGTTCAGAATTGGCATTAAATGTTAAACAGCTTAGTAATGAAATATCAAAATAGAGACAAAGTATTTTCCTTTGTAAGAATAGTCATATGAACCTTCTTGTGCGAGTCTTAAATTGTGTTCTCTCTCCAGTTTTGTTTCTGTGCTCTAGTATTTGCTTGTCAGTCATAAACCTTTGGTGTGTCTATTATGTAGTGTTTGGTCACTCCACCAAAAATTTCAGCAGCATCATGCTAAAATGAAAAAGTAAGGTATTTCTTAGCTGAGTAGTTAGAAAGGCAGGATGTATTTAACTTCTTTTCAGGTTTAGATTTAAGACCTGCCTGAATTTCAAAGCAGAGTATGTTCTCTACTAGATGTCCAAGCAGGTTAATAAAAAGTGGAGATCTGTGTGGAACAAGATGGAAGCAAAGGAAGGATTGAATCTTTTCATCTTCCAAGAGCCATATTCAGCCCAAGGTTAGAAAGAAAAGTTGGTTTAGATTAGTCGATTACTATTCTCTTGCTGTGTTTAGTGACTCTCTTATGTGTGTAGAATATACATGGACGTACTTGAAATAAAACTCCCATTTAAAATCAAGCTGAACTGTAATATGGTTTAGAAGGAAATTTTTTCAAGTTGATGCCATGGAAATCTGATATAAGAATAACTTCATTGCAAGGGTTTCCCAGCTCTCTTACTTCGATTGAAACACAAGGATTTTGAACTTTGTTTGTGGAATTCCTCTCCTTTCCTCCTTTTCTCTCCCTGCTTCTTATTTTTTTTCTTTACACTTCAGAAGTTTTGTGAAAAATTTTTCCTGACTTTACATTTTTTAAAGAGCATGCAATTTGCTTTGAAGCTTTTTCAAAAGCTTCAGCTGTACTTTCAAAAGTTGCAGATGAAGGATGCTTTTCATGGAACAATTGTGTATTCTGAACAGCGTGGCACAGGGTGGGATGTTGTAGACTTCCTTAAATGTTATGTTTAATGCGTGCCTGTTCATAATCAGCAATAAGGTGAAACCTTAGATTTGGCTGGATTTTTGTATTTTCTATTGTCCAGACAAATTTGTTCAAGTTGCATGATTGTCTGTAACTTATTTGCTCTGATGGCTGGTGTGGATTCTGATCGTATTATGGTTGTGGTACTGTTGCTGCTGAATATATTTTATAATTTCAGGGGTGTATGTGTAAAATCATAAATTGTTATTTTGATGAACTATCTTCTCTTTACAAATACTTTTTCAAGAGGCAAGATAACTATCCAAATCTGAATGAATTATCACAGTATTATTTACTGCAGAAATATAGTACTGTTCCACTTCAGATGTAAATGTCAAGCACATAGGACACTGTGTACTATGATTCTGCCAGGTTATTTCATTTTCTCTGAAACAATAGTAAGAATCTGAGGGAAAGCAAACACATGCAAATTTTAGTTTAAAAGAAATATGTCTGTAAACAGACAAGTTGAGATCTGTATCAGGAGACCTGATAAGCGCTTTAAAAAAGTGTGCACTGCACAGTTTAATGAGTATTCATGTAAATACTGGTGTAGGTGGGATTCTTCTGTAGTTTGTACGGAGTAGCTGTAAATGTCTGTTGGTTTGTGGTGTGGAGCATATGAATTGAACATACTTGTGAAACACAGATGTTTTCAACTTGTAGATTGTGTCAGAATGAGTCATTATGAAATGAGCTGATACAGTTTTGATTTGGATGCTACACATTTGTATTTGTGCTCTGTATGTTAGCAGTTGCCACAGTACACTCTGTTCTGAAGCATTATATACATATTAATGGCACCTGTTTTCCTTATTTGATCTTCAGTTATCATATTCTGAGTTCTTCCCTTTTCAGTGAGATCATGTTATTTCAAATTTCCCACGCTTGCCACTTTCCCAGGTCACACTGTGTAACTCAGTTAAACTTGGAAAAGGTTACTGTAATGGAGGTCCTTCCTCTTCTCTTGCATGAGAGGAGCTGTCACCTACCAGGTAATAAGGAATTGCTCTAGTTTTCCATTTTTGTTGTCTTTGCCATTAGCCCTCCAGCATTCTTCACCAACTTCTTGAGCAGTTGCTGGCCAGCAACATACCTATAGAAAGAAGATTGTTGGCCCTCCACGGAGTAGTTTCCCAGATGCCAACAGCTTGCAGTTTAAAGGGTAATTCTTGAGCTACAGATGTAATGGTGCTAGCTAATAACCTGTGGAAGATTTTATTTTCTTTGAATTTGCTTGAATTTTGAATCTGTATACAGTTTTTCCAGTTTAAACATTAAAAGGAGTGCCAGTTATTTTGGCAAATTTGCTGTCTGTGCATTTTTTTTCACTTCTGCTACAAGACAGATATCCCACTGTATGTGGCAGGTTCCAGCTACAGCTGGTAAATTTTTTTTAGCTTACATTCTTTTATTGGTGACAGACTGGTTTATGAAACCAAAACTTTTGAGAAAAATGACCAGTTTTAATAAGCCTATTTTCTCTGATTCTGTACAGAGTTTTTGAGGGGAAGGCTATGAAAATGAAAGAACCCTTCATTACTGTTACAGAGGAGAATTTCTGGAGTGTGTGGGAGCACAGTTCAAATCTGCTGCATTAGGCAGTATCAAGCTCCAGTGAATACTGAGTTCTTGATACAGAATAGAGTACTTCTGTGGAGAGGCACGAAATGAGAGGGACAGTTGCTGACTCTCTTAAAACTTCATGTTTTAAGAATCATACTGCAGTAAACTTGCTGATAATGGGGACACTCAAAACTAGATGGTTTTGTACAGGTTTAATATTGTCACCAAATAAATATGGACAGGATCTCTTGTACTGGAAAATATAGCTGGTATCTAATGGATGTGGGGAAGTCACGTGGAAAAATAAACCCTATCTACCATTTGTTCCAAATTTAAGTACTCCATTTTGGGTTATGTGATTGTTCAGATCTAGGTGGAGTTTACCAGACTGTGAGTTCATAATCTACTCATATCTTAATTAATGAATTAATGAACGGAATTTGACCTGGAGCATTTAATATATGGATTTAGTACATTATGACCCTCAGTTACAGCATGGTGCTTAATAACACCAAGGTTGTGGGTTCAATTCCCATATGGCCCATTCACTTAAGAGTTGGACTTGTTGGATCCTTGAGAATCACTTCCAACTCAGAATATTCTGTCGTCTGTGGTCTGGAAGTAAATAAGGTGCTCTTTGTCTGCACTTGGCTGATGTTTGTAAGTGCTATGATTGGCTCTGCTGTCTGCTTGATACTGAACAGTTAGTTGTGAACTAACTCATAAACAGACACTGAAGTGTGAATATATTTAATTCCTATCATTTTATCTGATCTGTTTAACATTTCAAAGCACTAGCACTGTTCTCTCCCAAAGATGGTAAGCTATAGGCACATCCACAGCTTGTGTTGTCTTTTATCCCCCATCTTAAAACTGAGGTAAATTTTCTGGCAATGTTTTTTTTCTCATGCTAACGGTGAATTCTTCTTCCTTGTAGTAAAGCTGTGATGGATGTATTGGTTGATTTATGCAGCCAGTATCGCTTAAATCCATCTCAACATAGTCTTGAACTAAAGTCTTCAGGAACTCAACAAGTTCTGAGTTACAAGCCAAACACTTTGATAGGAGCACTGGATGTACAGACAGTACTTCTGAAAGAGAAGATTCCTGAAGAGAAGGCAAAGAGACCTCTGCCAAGGGTCCCTGAGGTCAGTACTCTGGAGGGCTAAAATGATGCCGTGGAACATCATTCCATTCCTATGATTTCAGTTCTTCCAATCTTTTCATCTTTCATCCAGATGGGAAAGACTTGGGATTGATTATAACCTGCTTTACTAGCTTAACTAATAATGCTTTGCATGTAGATTAGTAGAGGCTAGTCTAGACATTTAGACAAAATGGTATGTTGCATGTGGTTGGATAGATGGAAATCTGAAGATTAGGGCAATTGAAAATTGCAGTAATGGCTGAAACGGGAGTGAGGCTGTGTGAAGATAGTGTTTTGGTGATATTCTGTGCAACAGCTTCATTGAAGATATGGGAGAAGGCTCATCATTAATAAATGTATTTCATGATAAAGTGAAGATTAAGGAGTAGCCATTTTCCAAATGTTTGCTGAAATTTTTTTATTGTTCTAATAACTATATCTAATTATACTCTCCCACCTTTCAGAGTGGGACTTGTAAACTTTTACATTACATCTGCCTCTGATTCCTTTTCCTTCTTCATGTGTTCTTGTGGATGTCTTCTTAGTGGGAAGCGAGGTCTGAGGTGTTATTCTTTCAAATATTATTTTTTGCAAGGTGGGGTAAGTTTGCCTAGGAGTAGTCAAGACAACATGGAAATCCCCGGTGCTTTTCTCATTGTGAGATGGCCTATCCGCCACAGAAGGGGGACTGAGAGTTTGTGTTTGTTTCTGCAGAAATCTGTGAGGCTGGTAGTGAACTACCTGAAGACACAGAAGGCTGTGGTTCGAGTTAGTCCAGAGGTGCCTCTCCATAGCATCATCCCAGCTATTTGTGAGAAGTGTGAAGTCAGCCAAGAGCACATTGTTCTTCTGCGGGATGGCATAACTGGGGAAGAGCTGGAGCTTACCAAGTCCTTGGAGGAGCTAGGAATAAAGGAGCTGTATGCCTGGGACAGAAAAAAAGGTGAGCCAAGACTCAAAACAGTCTCTGCAGGGTTATATGATGTGACAACAATATTATGGGCAATTAAAAGCATTTGTGCTGCCATTCTTTTGGGGTCCAGCTGAAACAGCAGAGTGAGATCTCAGTCTGGAGAGCAGCATGGGTTTGTTCAGTGAGCTGTGCCCAGAGCAGCAGCCAGGTCAGCAATGTGCCCAGCTGTCCTTGGATGCTCTTGGGCCTTGTGCCAGGCTGGGCTGGACTCTGGCAGGGTGCAGGTTGGCCTAGGGCAGGGCAAAAGGAGGAGCTTTGCTGTGTCCCAGAGCTGCTGTTCGTAGAGGTGCGCATAATACAAGGGGCTTCATCCAGGCAGAGTCTGTCACCTGCCTGTGCTGTGGGCTGGAGAGAAGGAAAGAAGAGACATGCCATAGTCATGGCAGCTGTGAAAGCTGAGAGGCAGAGGCAACAGACCAGGGCTTATGAGAAACAGACTGGACAGGATCAGAGACAATTCCTGCAAAGAGCACAGTTATTGACGGTTTAGTGAAGAGGAGCTAAGAGGTATTTGTGTTTAAAATTTTGTTCTTATATTTACCTCTCCTCACTTTCTGTTCTCATAGACAAAATTGTAATAGCAGCTTTTTGGAGTTGAGTTTTATCAGCCTGATTATGCATTCAAATAACATAATTCCGTGATGTGCTTTAAAATATACCTGCTTTTAAAATACACATTGACAAGCGCTACTTCCTTTGAGGTCAGATTGTGATATTCATTAAAATTGTCTCCTGCAGTTTTTCTCAATCGCTACCACTTCCAGCACAGTAAATATCCTTATTTATTGTTTAGATAACGTCATTCTTGTAGGTGCTGAGCTGTAGGCTTATTTTTTATTTATAAAATTATTTATTTATGTTGACATTCTCTTCTTTCCAACTCTTTGAGAAGTGACAGTTCTACCTCTGTGCGAGTCAAATTTCAGTGAGTTTAGACTTCTAAGTAAACTAAATATCTCTTTTTATTTTGAATTGCTGGGATGTTCCAAAAAGAGGCTGACAACATGTCATAACTCAATTGCATGTTTGTTTTTTCAAGACATGTTTACTGTAATTAAGCTAACCATTTTAGAGCAACATATTGAACGTGGGGCATTTTCAACAGGATTCATTCCACACACTTCAGGGACAATGTAGAGAGTAATTATCATAAGCCTTCAGTAAAGTCTTTCCTTTCAAATGAAAGTGATGGTATGTATGCTGGTGCAGTGTTGGTTCTCAAATTTGGTTGTACAGTCAAAACCAGGACTTTACTACAAGGCTGGGATTATAGCAGCAAATTATCACTGAATATATTGAGTTGAAAGAACCCACAAATATCTACACATCATAATGTGCTGCTCTCTACATCAGCTTTTCTTTTTTTCTATTCTATTCCTTTCTAACCTTTTGGTATTCCTTTCTTTCATTTTGATAAAATCCCCCTGATCCTAAGTCAATCTTTTGTGCTTTCCTCTTACCACACGGTGTCTGACAAAAACAGTAAATGCACATAAAATTTGCAAGAATTTTTCCTTTGTTTCAGCAATTTTCTTCTTCAATGTTCTTATTTGTAATATCCAAGAGGAATAAACCTATTGGTTTCAGTAGCAGTTGGTGTGTGACTTGTGCATTGAGTGGCTATCTAGCCTGTTTACTTAACAGAAAATAGGTTTTTAAAGCATATTCTCACTAAAAAGTAAGATATCACAGGTGCTGAAAGCCATAGGCTGTGTTTGTAAGAGCAGATTCTTCCTCGATTCTTCCCTTTCCTGAAACAGAAAACACCAAGAGCTGAAGGATTATTAAAAGAGAAGCTCTGCTGCCACCTGCTTACTTAATTCTACTTAGCAGTTGAAGCAGCTTCATGACTGAATTAGGAATTAATACGAATGCAGCAAAACTGCTTCAGTAGCAACTCTGCATGCGTGTTGTCAGCCAACATTTTTTCTGTAATGCTTAGGAAAAAGGGTGCTAGGACTAATTAATGAATATCGTGCTTTACAGGGGTATATTAGAACTTTAATGTGTTTTCTCTTATCCTTTCATTGCCTGATTTTTCCAGTTCCTCCATCAAAAACTCAGTCTGAGCCTTCTCTGAACTATAGAGGTACTGTACAATGCTGCTGAGGGGGAAGCTTCACTCTGTGTCTAACTCTTTCACTTCACTCTATGTTTAATGTGGGTTTTGTTGGTAGATCCTTAAGAATGTGAAGTGCCATAGAGAAACAAGCTATTCTTATTTGTTTTGTCTTTCCAAAGTGTTGCTTACATGTCTTGTGCTTCTGCTAAGAACAAACACATTCTGTGTGTACTGTCTCTTCAGCAATAGCCATTAGAACACCAGCAAGTAGCAAATTTTGCTATTTAACTGTTTTGTGGTGTATTTCTGTAGATTTCAAGCCTGTTCAGTTTATCTCAATCATGATTAGGTAAATTTCAGAGTTACTAACATTTCCACAGTCTGTTGGGTTCAAAATTTATTTAGTAGCAAAGGCAGAAAATTTTGATGTCTGTGAGGTCTTCCACTGATTTCAATTTCCGTGCAGCATGTATACATAGGCATTGTGTAACTGAATGTATACATAGGCATTGTGTAACTGAATAGATACTGACTTCTGAGTTGTTACAGTAGTTGGGCTTGAATTACATTATATTGGTACTTCTGCTTCCAGTCAAGTAGAAAATGTGTGTATTTAGTATGTCGTTTTCCCTACTGAGTCTGTTTCAATACATTGCATAAATTAATTATCCTCAAGAAAGGTATGGTTGATTTCTAATAAGCTTTACTTCTTTGCTAGTAGACACAACACAAGCACAGTAAAACTGGATAACTTGTTTAAATTTTTATGAAGAAAGTCCACCTCCAGTAGGTGGCAGCCATCAAGCAAATCTTAGCTCATGGCCTCTTGGCTTCACTAATGGCAGCACTATTCCCCCTAATCATCTGTCATTACTTGCTGTGGCTTCCTCTTACATGGAGATCAATGCTAGATGAAATATCTGCTGTATTTATTTAAGAAAAAGTTATACAGATTAATAAAGTCTAATCATGTTGATATTATATGCATTACTTAAGTCCTAATTTATTTGGATTACACAGTGCTCAATGACAGTGTTGGTGATCAGCTGCTACGTTAGCCTTTCCACAGCATTGTTTGTAGTTGAAGACTATGCAAGTAAATGAATCATAATCCATATCTAGACACAGCCCAGCCCCAAGCAAGAAACCAGCAGAGCTAGTGCTTATTATTTAAGAAAATCATTAATTCATTACTGTATTCTTTGCAGTGCAGTTGTAGCCTTTCTTAAGGATAGTTTCTCCTTTTTGTCCTTTGTGTTCATTGTTTATGTTTAACACCTTCTGACACATGGGATTGTTTATATGCAAAACTGATATGAAAATCGCTTCATATTTTATGCAAATAAGTTTACAAGGGTTTTGGGATGAGGCTTTTTCAGTGAAGTAAAACTTTATTTTGTGTCAACAAGTAATTTTGAATTTGAGTTTTAATTGTTATCAAGCAAATATTTACAAGAGAAAGTGGGTTTTTTTTCCCTGTGAACTAAACTTTTTGAGTACTAGTGGATAATCTGATGTGCTTGGAATCAGGAGGAAAGATTTATAACATTATGCAGAGTCAATTTAAAAAAGTGAGAGGACTTCATTATCTGTGTATTAAATGGGCAATGTTGTTTCCTGCAATGCATGAGTGTGTCATTTTGCTCATCCAGCTTTGTGGATGAGAAACTGAAGGGGGAGATTGTAGGGATATTAAATGGTATGAGAACTCATACAATTTCTTAAGCAGGTTTAAGGAAGACATATATGAGTTCTCACAGCCTGAAATACCTATAAAATCCCCTCTTTTCCCACCTAAAGTAAAAGCACCAAGATAAGAAAGACGACCACAACCAGCTAATCCAAATTCTATGGAGTGCCCTGTTTCCAAGAGGAGGGTCTTCTTCCTTCTCCTTGGAAACAGGGGGAAGAGTTTTATCCAAATTACACATTTAGAATCTCTTGTTTAAGTTCAAAGTATTAAGTCAGACCTATGAATTTTTAAAGACACTCACCAGTATATCTTTTTTTAATGAATTGTTAAAGGTACTCACCAGTATATCTTTTTTTAGGTGTTTGGGGTTTTTTTAGTATTATGGTACTGTATGAGATTTAAGTGATACATCTAACAAGCATTTCTGAAGTCATAAGCAATTTGCTCACGTTTTGCCTTTTAATAAGGGTTACTGGATTATGATTGAAAACTTAATGCACTATATTAAATTATTCCATTAGATTTTGGAATATACTCAGAACACATGAAAGTTTGATGACAAAGTAAGTGCAGGACCTGGCTTTTACTTAGATAATCCAGTCCATAACATCTTCAACTCATAAAAATCCAGCATTAACCCAGGACATTTTAAAGTACTCATCTTGTGAATCTTTATTTCAAAAAAATAACAAGTATTCCATTAAAATTTTTTCAGAACCAAATCGAAAGGCTTCAGTAAGCAGTGATGCAATAGAGAAAGAAAAGACAAGACTTTTGGGATTGTTTAATGCTGATCGAAGAAGCAGCCAGGTAAGTGTCTAGCAGTGTACTGCTCACTTTCTTTCCAGATCTGTTATGTCTGTAGGTGGTGGCATTTGTTTGGCCTGCTTTCCTTTTCCTTCCAGAGAGTAAATGTGTTAACAGGGGCATAAACTGTATGTGATCAGTGCAGCCTGATGGAGATATCACCCGCCTATTGAAGGAGTCAAGCATGTTGACCATTTACTTTCTTCTTTATTTTTTTTCAATGTTGTGAGTTCAGTAGGTGTTAAAGAAGAGCACTCGTTTCAAGCAACCTGTGTCTGTTTATTAGTAGTACTCACATTAAAAAATGCATTTATGAAAGGACTGATGTAATACAGAACAATTTAATTACCAAGTAGATGTGTCCTATGTCTTCTTCTGTGCATGGGTGATGATCTCTTTTAAAGCATTCAGACCTCTTGGAAGCTCTGTGCAGTCACTCCATTGCCTTCTCCAAGTCTTTAAAGATGATGAATCAGGTATAGAAGAAATAACTTCCAATACTGAACTGAAGGATCAGTGTCTGTTGCGGTACATGTTAGCCATTTTAAACTTTGTATTCTTGAACTGAAAAATTTAGGAAAGAAATTTTGTATTAAATGATTCCATTGAGATGCATTTTTGAAGAATATTTCATGTACCACAGGAATTAAATACAGAAGAACTTTCTGACAACATAGAAAAAATAGTGGGCTTTAACTTCATACTTTTTGCATTCTTTACTAAAAATATTGGTGTTAAATGATTTTGGACATAAAGTGTTTAATGCTCCAGGATGTCAGAGGAAAAAGGGAGCTTTCTTTTCTCTAGTTTAAACCCTCCAAGGCTTTTGGAGTGGAATTACAAAATGTGTATCTGATGAACTGGCAAAAAGAAACATTTGCTTGTTAATGGACTGGTGTTTTACTTATCCAGTCATCTCAGTCACATTTGCAAAACTGTGAAGGCTTTTCAAAATCTCTCACAATTGTCTGCCTTTTTATTCATGATTGAATTTTTGGTGCTTTTGCTAGGGAATAGAACCCTTTATGGACATTTTGAATTACTTATTTCTGTCATAGATACTAAATTATTCTTAATATCTTATAAGGGACACATGAGAACTATTTTATGAGATAAGAAGTCAGTTACTTTCAAAGTGTTTTTCCACTGTAAGAAAATACTTCCTGTATAGAAGGGAAAAATTATAACTGGAGTGATAATACTGTATCTGCTCAGAAGAATCAAGTAAACAAAGGATCTCAACCTGAGCCTCTAGAGCACGCTGTGGGGCTGCAATTCCTCTGGAAGAAACAAACACATTACAGAATGCAGTTTCTGCATTGTACTTTGTCCTCTCATTCCATTTTACTGAACTTGGGTGTGAAATCTGTGTCCTGGCAGTTCTAACTCCTGAAGCAGATCAGTTTTAACTTCTAAAGTATTAATGCTCATAATCTTAGCAAAGTTGCTATGAAGCATCCTAATTCAATGGTTACTGCAATGGATTTCTCACAGCTGAGTTGGAAATGTGTTCAAAGATTGTAAGCTCCTCTCTTTTTTTCTGTTTTCTCTTTCTCTTGCTTATGAAAGCAAAGGAGGTGATAGTCTTGAGTTTTTCAAAATAGTAAATTTGAAAAAATGCTAAGGACATTGTGGGTGAATTAAATTCAAAATTCTATTTGACCTGGTGAAAAGTAGGAGCTGCACAAATAAGTATGAGAAACAGCTTCTAAATCTGAGAAAACATTCTAAGTCTTTCTTGCTGGTAGTTCTGACAAGTTAATTGATTTTTCTTGGTCATTTCTTTATTGGTCACTTACTTCCAAATGACAGTTACTCTGTAGGAAAATAAACTAAGTCAGTAATTTTGTTTAGTTGAGCAAGAAAAAGCCACTGTTGCCTTCACAAACCTCTGGGAATATAAAACGTGATAGATGGAAGAATTACTGAAAGCTGAAGAGTAACACAGCACACAGGAGCAATCAGGTGTTAATTCGACATCATATATCTGACTTTCTATTCTGAAAGCTTTCTAACCAAAACAGCAGGGAAACTGCTGAACAGACTTAGCAGGATGAGGACAAACTAATAAAGCTCTTTTAATGAAAGTTTTGGTAGGTTTATGAAGGGACTATGATGGGATGCCTTGTGATTTCAGGGACCTAGAATCAAAAGCCCAGGGTACCTAAACTCTGCTCTTTATGGGTTTTTTACATTACTCTCACACAGGGCTTAAGTTGGTTCTGTGTATTTTTTGTTTGTTTGCATTATGATTTGCAGTGGTGATGTGTGTGTGTGTATGTAGTCATGCATATTAGAACTATTTAAGAGGAAGAATTGTTCGAAGTTCTGCACAGCAGTAGGACTGCAGACTTGCAGGCATTTGTAAGGGGAAGGCGATTTCTTTTGCAAGGGAAGAAGAGTGTTAGCCTGTGTTGCAAACTGTCCTGGATCAGATGTCACTGCACACTACAGGCCTATGCTCAGATTTCCATGCCCATGCACATGCTTTCTTTCTCAACTGGCTCACTGAGAGCAGTAATTGTGGTATGACAATACACCAGACCTAATTTTTCTAAAACAACCTTTCCATTATATTGAAAACACTGTGACATAGAATGAAAGCCAATTCCTACTCTCATGGCTGGTACAAATTTGTTAAAAGTATTTCTTTGGTTAACTTTGTACTGGCAGGCTTAATGCCAGATCAGGTATCATCTTGTTCTCTTCCATTCTAATTTTATGCTGGATCAGTTACCCTCTTTCTCCTGCAGCTGGCATAAAAAACATATAGGTGGCATGAACTCCATTTCTTTTCTATGTTAAATGTAATTGTTTGCCTGAGGCTAAATCCAGATAAAATTGGCATTGCTAAACAATCAGTAGAGCAGAGGTGCTATGCAGACAATCATGGGATCTAGGCTTGAGTAAGGTGCATGCTAGCACACAGAAACAGTTCCTTCATAGGGAAATGGCAAGGAAGGAGCTCCCTGCTTGTTCCATTGTGTCTGTGGGTGTAGCAGAGATTAGCAGTCTGGTCCCTGATATTACCGGAATTAGTTACTCCTATTTTTATAATTGCCTAAGAATTTTGTCTTTGTATTCTTAAATATTTTTCCCAATGGCTTTCTTAGCTCCTTGCCTAGATCAGGGAATTCTGCAGACTACTTCAGAGTTTCTCAGCAATCAGGTCCAGCACTACTGAGACAGTTTGTCTTGCTTCAGTGATGGGGTTTGGTGTTTTGCTCTGGCACGTTTTTGCAGTTTTGTTTCCTTTGCTGCTGCTGTGTAGGACACTTGTTTGTGTTGCAGACAGAAGAATACTTGAGGACAAACAGAGATTATGGTGAGGAGGATGGTTTTAGTTCTGCATCTGCAAGTGAAGGAAGCTTGGATGTAAGTACTAACACAGCTTGTAGATGCTATTGTGTCCCTATTAGCTCCTACAGTTTGAATTAACCAGAAACCACTGCTGTTCCTGATGCTTAGCCAAGTAGAAGTAGAAATAGCTGAAGTTTTAGCAGGCTTCATTACATGAGTGCACAGTTTGCATATCTTAATGAAGTTAAACTGTAATGCGTTGTCTTCAAATAAAACTTGCTAGCTTCACTATGAATAAAGCTTCATTCAGTATTAAATTCCAAGCAGTTGTGAGAAAGAAGAACATGGGTGTTGTGACATCAGTGACAGTCCTGTGTGATGCAAGAGAATTTTTGCGTTGCCAATGCTATTTAAAAGGGACTTTTCTTATAAAACCCCACCTTTCCTTTTCATCCCTGTATCTGACTTCCACAGCATGGCAGCATTCTATTTGTTTCATAAGGAGCTTAGCGGTGAAGAGCAAACACTGGAAAAAAACAAATAGGATTTTTGTTAAATATGTCAGTAGGGTTTGGGGTACTAAAACCCTGTGAACCACATTTAGAAACATTAAGTGACAGGCATTCATACCAATTTATGAGGATCCAAATAGGAAGGTATCAGATTAGGAAGTGTGAATCCTAAATATTTTCTCAGATGGTTTTGGTGGTATAGTAATTATAATAAATGGCACATCTTTTTATTACTTTTTTAAATTACTTGACTTTTTGTTATCATATTTTCAAAACCTAGAGAAGAGTGATGATGTGATAGAAGTTTGAAATGTGAGGTTCAGCTTTGAATCCCCCTTTCATAAACAGGTCTTTCTAAAAGGAGTGTGGATCTGCAAAATAAAGAACTCACTAGCCACAGAGGATGATAGGGAATTGTGGAAAAAATGAAGGAATAAGAGAACAAATCCCAGATCAAGAATAATATGAGAGGAGTACAAAAGGAGGAATAGATAGAAAATTGATTTGCTATGAGTGTAAAAACACCAAACTGCAAATCTGAAGACTTCATGAGAAAAGATTACTGAGATGGAAAACCTGCTTGTGATACTAAAAATTTGGGCAACACTATAAAGATGAATAAATTATTAGGCCTTTGTTGCTAAAGGAAAGTCCTAGAAGAGGGTGATCATGTGTAATTGAAATAGACTAATTAAAAGCATAGAAAAAGCATCACAAACTCTGCCAAAATAAAATAATTTTGTGGTTTGTATTCACTGCCATTATGAATTAATCTCAATACCTTGATAGCCAAGTACTAGAAAAGAGCAAGGAGAAAGAGTAGGAATTACAAGTAAGAATATGATGGTAAAGGTGTGTGGTGCTTTCCCCAGAAGAGAGACATCACCTTATTTTTCTTGGAAATTTTACAGGGAAAATTGTAATCTTTTTTTTTCCTCCTCTGACATTGATGAAAAAAGATTTCAAAACCATTTTGAACATGTAAATGTCTTCTAAAGGTGCCAGTTTATAAGGAGGAAAAGGCTCTTGAAGAGGCAAAAAGGTTTTCTTTTCATTCAGTTAAATGAGCATGTCAGGGATTTAAATTTTTCCCACTTTCTTCATAAGAGGAATTAATCTTGAAGAACAATGTAGCCCTTGTTCAGTGTTTGTCTTTCACTTCTGGTTTGACACCTGTATTTGTATGAGCAC